CGACGAGCTCCGCGTTCGGACCATCGTGCTCGATGTTAGGCTCAAGCCCGCGCTGGTATCAAATCAACGTGAGTGCATTTGAGATCAGGCCATCTGATGGCTGCTCACCACCCATGTCAATCAGAACCTTCCAACGGATCAAGATCGCGGTCGATATCCGACACATTGCGCTAGATGCGAGGCACCAAGTAAGTCTTGTGTGGGCTGCTGCCAGACCTCACGCAGTGGTTGACAGGATAGTCCTAAAGCAATAGAGTGAAGACCAGGGAACGCGGCAGTCACAGCCGGCCTCGGACCTCTATACCACACGCCGAACGTGACATGCTCCCTAGACCGACCCCACCGTCTGCGGCAGGTCACGATCGACCTCTGCAGCTGCGAGTGAACCGTCACAGCCTCCTGTTCTCCGAACATTGCGTGACGTGCACCCAAATAGGCCAGCCTGCAACATAACGGCGTCAGATGCGGGTGTTCAAGAGACTATGAGGCGTGATCACCGACCGGCCGCGCGATGAATACAGGATGCGTACGAGGCGATGAGAATGGACGGCGGGATGCGATCGCTCGTGCAGACGACAATCCTGCGCGTGTTCTGGCGAAGGAGACTGCGTGAACCCAAGGCTTCGGCACGCAGTACGTCATCTCGCCATTTCTCTTGCGCAAATTTTAATCATGATCTCCGTAGGATTGTGAGCGCGACAGTCACGGTCGTGACCAGTGCCCTATGCCTTGCTACGCAGTCCAAAGCCACGGACAGCAGGAGGGCGACGAGCGCAGGAGGGCCTGTCCAGTCCGAGCCACACGCGGTCGCAACCAATTTCGACCGTCTCGCCCCGCGTGCCTCGTCAATTGCTGTATCTGCATATCCAATCTCTCGCCTTTGTCTCTGTACACTCCGGGCATCCACACCTCTCGCGACGTTGACGGCATCTTCGACGTGAGCACCAAACGGCAATCGAGCGCGGAGGCCACCATAGTCGACACGTACACGCCAAGGATCGAGCGGCAGATTCGCAGGGTGGTGAGTTGCTCACCAATCAAGATGTCTCTCGGCACTTCCTCTCCATCGCATCAAGTCACGGCCCAGCTGCGGTCTGTTTGCGTGAGCGGCGAGCACATGCAACCCGTGCATCATGCAGATAAGCGCGATCGGCGGTCGCAACCATTCCTGGCCGTCTCTCGCCGCGCACTTCGTCGACTGCTGTATCCGCGCAGTACACTCAGAGCATCCACACGTCTCGCGGGGTCGACGGCATTCTCGGTGCGAACAGGGCGATTGAGAGCAGAGACCGCCCAACTCGACAGGCCCCAGGGTCAAGCAGGAGGTGCAAAGCTCACTGTTCGAGATCTTTCCCGGTACTTGCTGTCCGTCGCGTC